GATATCATATAAACAATCGAAGGTGCATAATTCCTTCCACCTGGGGCTTGTCTGGTTGCAGTTGGCGTTCGGTTCAGTTTCATCTTCTCTCACCATTCTTGGGTGCGGTTTTTATTCATTCAGTTAGATAATATTCTCTACTTCGAACCCGGTGGTCTCCTCACCTACCGGTTTCCCTCCAGACGCGACTCGGCCATCTGACCTTATCGCTTTTTCGACAAGTGCAAGTGAGAAGAGGTGTCGATGGTCTGCGTGCAAGTTTTCGTTCACCTTCCGTACCAGCGAATTTCGGTTACCTCCTGCAAGTTTAGTGACGTTTACTATTGATATAAAGCTTACATGATAGATTCTCTACGTTAGGTTGCTCCGCAAAACGCTTGGAGAATATGTCCAAAGCTGGCAGTACGGAATATGATCGGATGCTAAACCACAAAATATACTGAACTTCCACAATATGAACCCGCACGTCCCCTCCGGCCACCAGACCACACATTCGTAGACCCCGTTGAAGCGACTCTAGTAGCCTCAATGACATATATGTGTCAGCCAGCAGTCAGACCAATTGAGTTTTTAGAAAGATTATATGTACAGTGCAAATTAAATTTGACACACCAATGCACGATGTAAACGTCTATATATTCCTGACTGAAAAATTTTTTTTAAACCGTTTTTCATACTCGAGATGTTGCGTGACAAATAGGAAGTGAAAAGACGCAAGCCTGCCTAATCCTCAAATATACTGAATGAATGGTGGCCGACGTGGTGAATTTTGCAACGGGACCCAAAAGGAGAGGCGTATATTCCCGTCTGACTAATGCCACATGTGAGTCACCAGAGAGAAAGAGAGAGAACACGACAGGAAGTGTGCAGAAGCGGAAGTCTTGGAAAAACCTAGTACACCATAATTTAAAGCAAGCAAAATGCTTATGTACAGGTTGGACCAATTAGATGCTGGTCACAAGAAAGTCACGACTTCCTTGGCTGAATGAGTCATGATAGTGTACGTGCTCTACCGACTGACCTAGACGGGCGCAAGTGCGTCAGACAATGCACTTTGTGTGTGTGGGTGGCTTCCTGACGTGACAGCTGTGTTCGCGTCCTGAGCCGGCCGTAGCTAGGCCCGGCTCAGACAATGCACTTTGTGTGTGAGCGGCCGGTTGTCTGGATTTCGTTGGAATCCTGCTCGGCCGCGCTGTCACGCTTGGGTGTGAGTGGAGCGGACAGGTGGTTGTCTGGCAACTCTTCGTCAGGGCTGTTTGCGCACGCCCTTTGGTCGGCCCCTGACAGTGACCAAGGAAATAAGAGGAGTGGACGCCAAAGAGACACTTGTCGATGTTCGTTTGCAAATCATTATTTTAAAAACGGTTGAAAATTTGGCGTACCTGCTCTTTGGTTTCCTCGACTGTATATCTTGCGATGAGGATCTTGTCAATTTACACGAACGTGAAAGAAAATCGCACGGGTATCCGTATTCAAAACGCTAGAATTATTGGGCCACGTCATGCAAGCAAAAAGGCAAGCAAAGTAAATCAAAAGGACCGAATGGCGCCATAATGGCAGTCTTGGGGATATTCTCTTCCGTAACCGTTATTTGAGGTTACGCTCTGAGGAGGCCCGTCTTGGAAAATATTGTCTTTCTGGACAGCATATGCGAAAAAATCATAAATATATATTATCGGGTACCGGTCCGGGACCGCCGCCCTGTTAAGGGCTCGGTAGTTACTGAATCGTCTCCAAACATCAGCTGCTTTCTTGGACACCATGTGCAGTAGAGATGCTCATGGATTGGACGAAGGGCGGATGATCCCCAAACTCAGTATTTGCTCATATTCATTCTTCGTGATTTGAAGCTTCTTAGGGTGAAGTCGGCGCGGGTGGGCATGGACGGGTCGGCCAGTTGTAACAGTATGATCCCCTACTGCATGCTGCACTTGTGCAGTGAACTGACATGGCGAAGTGATAGAATGTTTCACTCTTACGAAAGCTTTTCCTTTCTCTGACCAGCGTGCCCACGTCGCTTTCTTCCCTCGAATGCTGTCCAACCTTCCCCTTTTAATCCATTTACACCCGAATGCTCGCGGGTAAAACAGCCTCCAGCAAAGTGCTATTCGAATACTCTCCCCAGTCCCCGTTCGGCTCCCTTGCTTTTAATCACCTTTCCGACAAGGCTGTTGGACCCCTGCTGCCCCAAGATACCAC